GGCACGGCCTGCCAGCACAAGGGGTCCTGAGCACGGTGGCTTCCAAGTGCCAGTCGTTATGGCCCAGTAGCAGGTAAAAACCTACATCCTGCAGGACTATAAAGACGATTTTTCATTCCTTTTTCACAAAAAACAAATCTGGGCCATTTGAGATGTTTGTCTTTCCTCTTGCGCTGACAATTTAACACACTTTTAAAAAACTTTGGTTTCTCAAGTACGTTCACCTCCTATGTATTTTAATTTTTGCGCCGAGGCCTGGAGCTTAACAATTATTTCACTTAAGCTCTCAGAGACTTACCATAAAATATATTTAAAAAAACCCAAACATACTAATGAGCCACATCAGGTCATATTATTAGACATGGGCAGGGAATAAAAACACTTATGCCAAGATGACATTACTTTAAACGTGTAAAAAAGAAAGCAGCAAAGTGCATTTCAACAGGTTTTTGGGGGAGGCTTGGAGGGTTTTTTTGTTGGGGAGGGGGCTGCCCTGAAATAATATGCACAGATTAGTTTTGAGTTAATTTGTTGAAAAGTTCTGTTTGCCCAGGCAATTCATAATTTCCACGTTTAGGCACAGGAGCAGAAGGGGTGGGTGGAGGGGAGAGCGAACGGGTGCACATGCCGTGTGCTATGGAGGGTCTTAATTCTTAAGCACCGACAGTGGGAATTTTCCTCTCTTCTGGTTCCCCCCCCTCGACCCCCAACCTAGGAATGTAAAACCAGTGTCAGAATGCTGGGAAAAATTATACTCGGATTTTTATAGTCTCCCTGCAAATCGGAGGAACTGCCTGACTCAAGTCTGTATTTAGGGCCGAAAGAATAGGATTTCCTGCTATTTAGTCACTCGAGGAAGGAAAGGATTTACCTCTCTGCTGTAATAGGACCTAATTTTCTTCTTTTTAATAAGAATAAACTGCAGCAATAGTAAACCTGCGAAAGCAATCACTCCCTCCTTCCCTCTTGCACCCCACCCCTCTCTGCTAATGTTTGCATGTAAGAGCCGTGATGTAACTCGTCTTCTGCCAAAAGAATCCTCCCTTCGACCGTCTCCAACCTAATACCTAATGTATTGTGCGTGGATGGTGGGGGCCATGGCAATTACTTGGCGTCTGGTTCCATTGTGAAAGAGAGAGTTGTCAAGGGGCGGTTGCTGCTACGTAACTCCATAGGACTGCTCTCTCGCGCGCGCTCCCCCACCATCTGGATTCAGTTAGCTCTCTCGGCAGTCAGGCTGAGTCTCATTTCCTCCAACCAGTAATGTTATATAGGCAGTGATCCTGTTCTGCCCTAACATAATTGAAAATTATGTGTATTGTAGACTCGCAGCGCTGAAATGTAGACTCGTAAAAATCTGTGGCTCAGGTAGCCTGTGGAGATTGGATTTGGCACACAATGAAGCTTTTATGTAAAGTAAGAATTATAAGCCGCCGCATTAATATTGCATTACAGGCATGACAATTCTTGGCCACGCAGTTCGCGAGGCTGGCTTGTCACCTTAAACAATGCTAATATTTCATACTTTAGCAACGGGGCCGGTGCGGTAGAGCCAGCAAATTACACTTTTTTTTTTTCTTTTTTTGCATTTTTGCAAGCATCCCAGCATTGCAACTGTCAGTCGGTTAGCTTGACACGGTGACTTGCTTCAGGCTCCGGGACATTTCTGTTTATCCTCCGGACAGAGCATCTTGCCCTTGGTGGGGCTGGAATGTGCAGCTGGAGACTTGCCACTTGGTAGAGCTGACGGACGTTGCTTTATTGACCATCGCGCACCACCGCCGTCTGCAGAGCCCGTTTATTTTTCCCTACGATACGCATGTGTAACTCCCACTGGCGGTAATGGAAGCTGCACGTGCGCGTGTGTGTGCACGCATGTCAAAACAGACCTTTTGGTTTGGACTTCTCTTTCTGAACGGCGCTTGAATTCACTTCCCACTGCGTTCGGGAAGAGAGGGGGCTTTTGGCTCTCCCTCTGGGCTCGGCAGCGTGAGATTTATTGGCGTTTCTCTTTGTTAGGGGTGGGGACTAGGAAGGTTTCACCGAGATCAACCATAAAATGTAAGGGTTGAATTGAAACCTGGAAGAGCAAAGCAAATGTCGGTTCTTTCTTGGTTCCTTCCATCTTTTACCCTATTCACCTGGGCAATTACTCTGAAATTACTGACTCTTTAGAGAGACAGGCTGGTAGCAGAAAAAAACCCTGTACCTTTCTTTCAGAGTTTCCTTTTCAGAGAATTTAGGTAAAAAGGTGCTGACTTGACAGCCCTGCGACCCGCAGCCTTCTCTTTCTCCATGTAATATTTACTGCTTGGGCAGTAAATCGGAGGTGAGCTTGCCCGTACTGCTGCGTCTGTGTATCCTGATCTGTCCTCGGGGACCAGTGCATTGGAGCAAGAGGATTGTCCAGACCTGGGCCTTCACCGGCCATGACCTAGCTCCAACACACTGAGTTTGTTTGTGAGTTTGTCATACTCAAAGGAGTGTCTTAAGTCACTGACAACTTCTCTTATGGCTGTCTGGTGGGCTAGGAAAATGAGTTGGGTTGCCCCACTCTCGTGGCTTCGTGCCCGCTAACTGGTGCCCAAACCACTAGTACAGCTGACACTCGCTAGAAAACTTCTGAGTGTCTTAGTGGTGTAACCAACCACCTAAGTGGGTGTCTAGGACAGATGTAAGGCACATGCTGTGGGCCATTTAAATTGCACTGGATCTATTTTGTAGATAAACAGCAAAATTGAGTCTTAAGGGGTGACCACTAGCTATCCACATTTTAAAATGCTACTGAGAAAGTTGGGGAGCTAATAATCCTGAAGGTCTATGGATCTGATTATCATTATTTCTTGAATGCGGTGCATTCGTGACCTTGCTATTGTTCTTCTTCAAGGAACAAATGCATGGACTGTTTGGTGCCTTGCGCTGATTTTCCCCATACAAAAGCACACGTGTATGGTGATAGTCACGGTGCATGTTAAGTTACCGATGGCTTTTTTCAGTCTGTTATCCACGTTTGTCACTTGTCTCCAAGACCTGGGACCCGATGTCAAACTTCAGATATTTGGAGGTCACAATAAGATGGCGAGAGTTGGTGACACTGAAATGGTTTGGGTGGTTTGGTGTGGTTTTGAGGAATTCCAAACGTTTCTAGTCCCCGTTGCAGACATCCCAAATGCAAGGATTCACGCACACAAAAGATTTCTTGGAACTTGAGAACTCTTACGGGCAAAAATCCAGAGTACATGTTTTGTGTTTGTTTATTTGCATTTCAATTGCTTGGAAGTGGGAGGCCCTCCAAGTGATTGGAAGTGGTCACTCCTCCCCAATGGCATCTTTGGTCACCTTGATGCACGCAGCCTCGCATCAAAAAGACCTTCCATGTGAGTAAATGTTTTTTGCATCCCTGAGTAAATGCAATAGTGCCATGCTTTAAATGCATAGGCTCAAAGCAAGTCTGGGAAATAAAGACAAATCGCCGAGGGCCTCTTTCGTGTGGGTTGCCGGGGAGGGTCGCATTTTGTTTGCTTTTTCTTTTGGGTGGGGGAATTGACTTCCTTTTGTTTCAACTTGAATTTACTTTCATCCATCAAGTGGGTAGAAAATACTTCTTTACAAAAAAAAAAAAAAAAGATGAGCAGACTTAACCTTCTTTCCAGGCGCTGCCTATAGCGAGTTGTATCAAAGAAGTAGAAGTAGACCTCTTAGGTCACCCAGGCCTAGTGTAGGAAAATCCCAGTACTGTATCTTCTGCAGCATTTTGCTGTTTACTTTTAAATATCATGAGCCTCATGGCTCTCTCTGTTTCTTTTGAGACAACTCATCTGCAGTCAGATCCATCTGGCTTTAGTTCTCAAAGAACAGAAGGTGCGCTGCTTTTGCTGGTTTTGTTGGCTCTGCTTCTGTCTCCCAGGTACGTGTCCGTGGTTCAAGCAGCTTTAATCAGAAGGATTTGGGTAGAATTTGGCGTCCAGATCTGCTGCCAGTGAAGTCAGTGGTAAAACTCTGCTTGAAGGGTCTGGAGGGGTACAAATTAGCACCTCTTACTCAGCAGATCTGCTCCCTGTTGGTTTTTTTTTTCCCCCCAGGCCTTCTGTGTGTCAAACTTAGTGACAGTCTGGGCTATCCCTGTTAGCCGGGCATTGCCAAGACGGTGCTACCCGTCATCTGCTGGATTGGTCATTGCATTTCCGTTACCAGTCCGGGCAGCTAGGCATTGCCATTAGTGAGGTTGCAGAGCTGTCGTGCAGGTATAGATGCGACTGCAGAAAGCTTGTATTTAGGCTGGCGAGAGCATACGAGAAAAAGAGCCCAGGACTTTCAGAACTCAGGTTAAATATGCCAAGCTAGCTTTTTATGAAGCACATTTGATCTGTAAGCCCCTGAAAGAAAATAAATATGAGGACTCACAAAACTTAATTGCACAACTTTGCCTTCCGGGGTAAAAATGTGTCTTTAAGGTACGTACGCAAAAAAGTTGACTGTAATATTGATGAAGGCTACCAAGTGACTGCTGACTAGATAGTGACTTAAACTGTTCTTTTCACTAGGAGAATGAAAGCCTCAAGTTCAGGAATGTGAATATTTTTGTTTCTTAAAGCTGACTGTTTGCTTCCTTCCCCTGCTCATACCCTCTGTTTTTATTTCAGCATGGTATTCCAGATCTGGTATACGAATGATGATGTTAATAATAATAAATCATCCGGGATAACGTTGTCTTTGCAATCTGCTTTATTTTCTTATTCCCCAAATGTAATGCTGTGATATGAAAGTATTTAGTGTTCTGCACAGGTTGTTTCACATAACCATGTAAAGGTGCCTCCTGTGTGTCCTTTTTTTTTTTTACTATTATTTTTTTTTATTTTGTTTTTTTGTTTGTCTTTTGGTTCAGTTCCTTGCATATGTTTTAGTTAAACCTTTTTGCCCATGTTACCGAAGATTTGTTATTTTAGCCTTTCTTTTCTGAACTCATTTTTCTTTTCCCATTTTTGTTTCTTCCCATCCAGTATCTCCAGATGAAATGGCCACTGCTTGATGTACAGGCAGGGAGCCTTCAGAGTAGACAAGCCCTCAAGGATGCTAGGTCTCCATCTCCAGCACACATTGTTGTAAGTAAACCTCAGAAGACATTCTACCTTTGTTGAAAAAAGTCATTTGACATTTGAAAGCATTTGTTTGCCATCATTTTTAACTTAAGGTTTAAAAAAAATAATCCAGAATCAATCTCAGGATAAAGGAGGGGTGTAAGCTTTCTATTTCTGGGCTGCTTTTAAATATTTTCCATGGTACATAAATCTTTGCTTTTTTGGGGAAAAGCCAGTTGCCTTGAAATTATCTATCTGCAAAATGTAGTTCAATTCTGCTGAAGTCTAATAAGGCCGATATTGGAAATTTGTCCAGATGTTGGAAACGAGCACAAAGTTTGGGAGAAATATTAAGGAATAGGCCAGCCATTCATCAAAACAGCATCACAGCCCATGCTCGGGCAAAGCTAACTTTAAAACCAGTGGGAGTTAGCTGACTTGTCACCTGAGTAACAACTTAGTGTTAAGCTAAATTTATTACAAAATAAACACAAACAACAAAAAACCCCTTTGGTTTGTGGTGCATTATTCACTTAGAATAAAAACAGGATGTCAGCAAGTGATATATTTACTATTTGCCTGGGGGGAAAATCCAACATCAAAACAGAAAATGCTAGTAATAATGGTTTCATTATTGAATTTGACTACCTGAGTCAAACTTCTTGGTAAAGCTGATGTTGAAGTTAGTGTTTTACCCACACGGTGTGTGCATGTGTTTTCAAGTAACATCAACAATTAAAAAAAAAAAAAAAAGAAACTACAACTATGCTCTTCATCATGCAGCTGTGAAAGCCTAAATTCACTCGCATTCACCTATATCCAGTTTCTGCTCAATCTCTTGCTAATGAGCCCATCAGATCTGAATGTTTGAACTGGTAAATTAACCTCTTGAGAAGATGGCTCATGGCTTGTTAGAATATTTCTTTCAATGTATTTTATCATTGGATCTCATGTTTTTTACTAATTTTTTATTTTTATAATTAATGGATGACAAGGTAAAATTTATGCAAAAAAGAAACCGTTCATATATTTTTGATGCACGAGCTAACGCTGATATCGTTGACATTATGCCGGATACTTTAAAAACATTATTTTGAGTTTTTAAAAATATTGAAAATAATGAACGAATTTTCTTTTCAAAGAGAATAAAAAATTTTCTTTGTCTCTCTCCAACCTGAAAAGTCTGGGTGTTATGAGCATCTTGGTTTTGATAAAAGCTCTTGGAATTAATAGCTTCAGATCTCAGAAGGCTGAGTATAGTGCACCCAGTATTGATATTTAGATGGTCAATGCCTGGGACTGATTGCTTGCTTTTAAAAGGATGTTTTATTTTCTACTTCCTATTTGTTGGTGTGCAGCTGCATTAGGAGCTCAGAGACTGGATAGGTTTTTCCCTTCTCTCATATATAAGCAAACAAAATTCTTAGCTTTCCTTCACCCTACCTCCACCCCCACCTTGCTTCATCACCTTATTTCAAAAGAAAAAAACCAAAGAGATCCTGCCTGTTGCACTGTCCCTTTTACCAAGCCTCTCGTTAATGAAACCGTTGCAGATGAAAACGTAACTGGGAGCAGGGTTTGGTAACTCATCTGCCCTCTGCTGGCTGGCTGTCCTGTTTTGCTGCAGAGAGGTACTTTGTTAGCTGCATTCATCTGAGCTGGGCAGGGGACAGGTGCACCTTAGTTAAATTAGAGATGCAAAAGCTTTCATAAGCAATAGCTTACTTCATCAGAGGTGGCAAAGTAAAATGTAAGGCAGCGTTTCATTTAACAACAGACTTGTAGATGGAGGGAGTGGAAAGAAGAGGTTTTAATTGAGTTTAGAGGATGCACGATAGCCCTTTCTAATCATTTGAAAGAATGATTGAATGCTAACTAAATTTGCCACTTGTTTTAAATGCAGTTCCAATTCAGAATTGAGACTCCAGGTAAAGATGGGAGAGGCTGTCCATTGACTTCCAGGTTTTGCAGAATTCTGCTATTTGGGAAAAGGCTATTGCCCTTTATATAAATCAGATCCTTTCTCATTTCAGACAGAAGTACAGGGTTTTCCCCCTCTGGGAGTACATGCTTGCAATTTACTGATCTCCCTCCTTCCTTCCCTGCAGTCCTTTGCCATGTCCCCCAATCAGTATGTGGATGAAATGCATGATTAGGTGACCGTCCAAAAAAAAAAAAACCCCAAACCAGGTCCTCATACATTTTGGAAACTACAAAAAACCCACTTTCAGGAAGCCTAATGTGGATCTGCTGCAGATTTTGACCATTTATGGGGCTCTTATGGGGCTCTTTAGGAGCTGTTTCACTCAGCTATTCAATAAAAAGTGTACTTGCCATAGCAACCACTTAGGCCATGAGGAACATATACTACCTCTGAGATGGAGGCCACCTTCCAAGAGAGCCACAGCTGGCATTTGTAATGTGATCTTTTGTGCTACTTACAATGTTCAGAGGCAAAGAGGCGGGAGGAAGCGTGTTTTGAAAAAAGTTTTTACAAGGTTTAATATTCATTTAAAAAAAAAAAAACTTGCATTGTCTGATCTAAAAATGCTATTTCTACACCTTCCTGCAACTACTTCCCCCTCGCACCAATTTCTGGCAACATCAATTCCATTTAATCTTTGCAAAAGTTTTTTTTATTTTTTTTTAATTTTAACACTGTTGTGAATAGAGACCCATTTGGGGTGGTGAGGAAGGCAGAAGGGAAGCTTAAGTGGCTACAGCCGCTAACTACCTCGGCATGGGTGAGTGGTGCCTTCTGAGTCTGGAGGGGCACCAGATCGCCAAGGGGGGGGGCGCGGTGGCCCAACAGCGAGGGGGGCGGTGACCCCCCACCAGCCGATCGCCGATCCACCGGCAAAATTGGAAGTGCACTTCCACTGGCGCTTCCAGGGGGTGCGTGTGCATGCACCCCTTATGCATCGCCAATGTACCTGGGGAAGCCTCAAGTTTTTTGGGTGCCATCTTTTGTTGCTGCTGTTGGTATACAGCACATGCGGGCCTGTTGCTAGTTTCCATCTTAAAGAGCTGCCTTGCATTGTCTTTCAGAAACATGTTTGGTCTTTTTATAGACCATAAGGGATTTTTGTGTGTGTGTGTGTGTGTGTGTGTGTAGGGGGGTGAGTGCTGTTATCTAAAGCAAATGGCAACAAAAAGATCCATGCCCCTGTGTCTACCTGTATCTTGTCTACATGTCAGGTTTTCCTCCTGAATTCACTTGTGATGCTGTGAAGATCTGCAAGGAATAGTGAACACCTGCACATCATTCCATGTCTTTTCTGTATCTGAAATCAGGATTTGAGGCTAATCCTTAGAGCTGGTTTACAAAGAGAGGAAAAAGGAGTGGTTGGTTGTTTTGTTTAAATACACTTTCTTCTGAATGTTTGGCCACAATTAACACAGTTCCCGTTTGAGGGCTACTGTCTCTTTAGGCAAAATTTCCCCTTGGTTTCTGGGAGTTTTTCCTTAATGACTCGTGACAGCAGTGTTTTGGCTGTACTGTTTTTCTTTTTAACATAATTACCATGGCTCTACTTATTTGTCTTCTGTACTTTTTTCAGGTTAGTCTATGAACACAAAGTTAAGGCTACAAAAATTGAAGCAAAAAACCAGTGTGAAAAATTTGGCTGGATTGCCCCCAGCACTATGGGCGGGTTAATGCTGCTTTTCGTGGTGATTTTCAGCGTCTCCAAAACCGTAATGAGAAACAGAATATTTCACTTCATGTGGAAGGTGCAGCATGAGGCTCCATTTTAAAACCAGTTCATCTATTTGCATCTAGGTGACTCTGTTTTCGTGCATCCTGTCTTGGCAAAGCCATATGGCATATCAGTTGGGAGGGGTGAGAGAGAACTGGGGGAGGGGAAATTATTATAATTATATACTATTAAGGCCAGCCATTCCAAAATTATAATTTGGCCTATGAATGATATTATGTATGCTGTTGGGGATTCTTCCACCCTGAAATCTAGATTAAATTTTAAATATCTAGCCGTTCTAAAAACAAAGGTTGCAACGTGTATCATATCCTAACTGGGCAACTTATGGGAATCCAAGCTATCCAGATGTTTGTCCGGGAATCACACAGGTATGTCCATACTGCCCTCCTGCTCTATTTTGTTGAGCCTCCAACAAAGTAAAACTGATGAAACGGCAGCAATCTTAAGATTTGTTTATGACAGTGCTCAACTCGCTCAGATATAATGGAGCAGACAAGTGGGGTGGAAACAATATATGGCTATGAGTTCTTGCACTGAAGAACCAAGAGTCTAAATATTAGGCTTTCCAGTTGTATAAATTCATCTGTAAGGTGCTTTGACATTATTACATGAAAATGTAAATGTTTCTTCCATTCATTAAAGTTATAGGAAGCTGCGTCACTCTCACTCACTACCTCCAGAGTAAATATTCTGATTAAGCTGTAACTATTCCAGATGATTGGGTGAGATCATGGGTTTAGAGACAGCTCCCCGAATATTAACTCTGGTATCTTAGCTGTACAAAGACTTGCATTTAGCTTTCTTTGTACGAGGCAAAAACATGCTGTACCAAAAGTGGTGTGTTTTGGTGTTGCAAAATGGTTAAAAGCTTCAGAAATTCCTGTTTCCTTCTACAGGGGACATTTTCAAAGTCAATATAAATTTTACCTTTGGGTGGTATTTGGTCTGGGTTTTCCATTGTGTAATGAGCACGTTCATGGAGTAGTCTGAATCCCCGAGAACAAAAGAATCGCACTACTGTCATATGTCTGTAACTTTTTGGGTGGGGGCTTAAGGAGGTAAAAGTATTTGTTGAAAATGGAGTATGACAAGCAAAACTCTCTGAAACACTTTCTGTTCTCAGCCTATTAAGCATGTGTGGACAATGGAAGTCGTTTTTCACTTTTGGTCCATTTTGAGGCAGTTAGTCAACTTACCATGTTGGTTGGATCCAGCCCTAAGATGTTACAAAAAAAGAAATTTTTAAGTTTTTGATGCGGTTTCCATCTGCAGATGCCCCTCTTATATGAAAAACAAACTGTAAAT